AGCATGAGTTATATTATTGGGAGTAGTATTGAGCACCGATATGGGGACGTGTTCAGATAACTCAAAGTCCTCAGAAACCATATATGCCAACATGGGTAAAAGGGTCATACTTTTTAGATGATTCCTTATTGATTTTAAGCATAGGTTAGATGATCCATTTAGTTGAGGATGTCTTATACTCCGGCAAGGTATAAGACAGTTCTGGCAGAGTGGGGAAGACGTTGTATCATCACATACTCATAGTGATGGTTGTCGGTTAGATAATCTCCCAAATAAGAGTAAAAGAGTTATTATTGTATTTTTAAATACATTGAGTTATTATCTACTGTTTTAAAAGCTTTCTTTATAATGTATCTCTATTGTTGCTTTTATATTGAACTGAGTTGAGTATTTCTAAGTTTGAGTTGAGTTGAGTTGAGATGATGTGAGTATGTTCTTCCCTTTTTATCAGTTCAAGCTTATGTCTGTGCTTTAGAGTTATCCTTGCATGCTTGTACATTCCATGTACTGACACAATTTGGCCTACATTTTTCATGATGCAGATACAAGTAACCAGGGTCATCAACAGGCGCTCCGTTGATACCACTTGCAGTTCCAGAGTTGCTTTGGTGAGCCTCTTTGCTTCCGGAGGATTCCCACATTTACTTTCAGTCGTATTAGGATGTCGTGGGTCTTGTCCCGAATTCCATCATAGTTATTAGAGGCTTCATAGATAGACAACAGTAGTTAAGAAGTCTTTTCATTTCTATTGTTAAAAGTTTAAGACTTGAGTTGCCTCTTTTGGCCAGTTGAATGTTTTCTTTAAAAATATTATGAGTCAACTATTTTGAGACATTGAGTTAAATATTCATTTATTGTCGAGTAAGTCTTCCGCTGAGAGTTGAGTCAGGTCAAGTGTTCGCTTGGGGTCAACAATGGTTCTCGAGTGCAGTTACGTCCAGGGTGTAGGCTCGGGGGGTGACAACATCATGCTCTGAATCAACAATATCATACGCTAGTGGCAATATATTTCCCGAATACAAACAATAGATATTTAATATTTTATAAAAAACATATAATTATAAAAACCTGAATCAAATTTGATCTATTATAAATCAATTATCTACTCTATCTAGAGTACTGACACACACGAATGTACTATCATAAGTCCCTCCAATGTGGCTGCCATCCACTAAAACAATTGGTCTACAATTTTCAAATCCTTTATATGAATGGAAAAAGGGAAAAAAAAAAAGAAAAAAAATTGATTTTCATCGATTTTCTTCATCTTTATATGCGATCCAGGTTAGTTAGTATCTAATATGTTAAGTAACTCGACAATTTATTTTAAGAATCAGATGGTGTCTGATGAGTCCACAATTTGGACTCATTTAGGGCTATATTTTGATAGAATTAATGTCCTCAAATACATATTTTGCCTCAATATCTAATCAAAATCCTTAAGTTTAAGGTATTTAGAGTTTGAGGCAAAGCATGGACACTACTTGGCAAGAAGGAACAAGGCGGCTGAAAAGAACGAAGAAATGAATGCCTGAAGATCGCCGAGCCCAATTGGCGAGTCGCCGATGGGCTTGGAGATCGCCTTTTGTTCCAGTGTGCTGAGCCCTGAAGGAAAAGGTCAAGTTGGCGATGAAATGAAGCAGTCAGCGCGTCGCCGATCAGTTCCGCGAAGCAGTACCATATCGCTCAACGACTCAAAACGCGAAGAGGCTGAAGGCTAAAGCAGAAAGGCGATGAAATCGACCAAAAGACGGATCGCCGAGCGTATCGACGATCCCGACTAACTGCGCTGAATAGTCCTCTGTAGCACAAATTTTCAAACACTATAAACACTTGTTTAAATTTCTAATAATGATATCATATCACTTCTATTATTCGAACTTTTTACAGTTTTTGGAGAGTTTAAGTTTTAAAAGGGTTTTGGAGACTTTGTTCTAAGACCTTAAAGATTCAAAGGGTTTCAACTCCAAGAAATTGGACATGGGTCTCAAAGATTCTTCGCTCTTGACGTGTTTTAAGACTTAATTCTTCATA